CGCATATAAGTGTGAAAGCAGGAAATTCGGTTTACCTTTGCAGACAGCGCACTTTTTATACTCTTTTAATCAATGAAAGCTTAATTGAAGCTGGAAGCATGTCCCATGTCATGAGGAATACATCGGATAGATTCTGTCATCTACAAAAACACATTCCAATGTTCCGCTTATTAAAGTGGAATAATGAGAGAGAATAACATTTTCACTACCTCTTCAGACACAGAACCTACGCCTCAGTGGGCAACACGCTGTATGATACGAGACGGAGCCCTCATGAATATTTTGACGCGAACGTTTTGGAAAGTAAGTTCCACTAATTTATGATTCCTCGTCCTTAAATCAGACCTGGGAGAGCATTGATTAGAGCTTCCCTGACATACGTACATGCACTTTTGATCCAGTCTTCTCGAGAAGTCGAAACCCTCCTTTCCTCCGGAGTCGGCAAATCGGTGCCAGACATATCTGGGAAAAAAAAACACTGATTTCAACAGCAGTAGGTCATCGCAAATCATCCTACTCCACGGATATGCCACAACAATCTCTGCGATGCTTAACGGAGTCGGAAATCCCTCACAGATTCAACATCATCTCAACGTTTATCCTTTGTAGTAAAGTGGTAGTCACTCGCAGAAAAATCGACCAGACGCTCTGCCTATAGAAATTTGGGTACAAAAACCGGTTTTACTTTCTCTATGCCATCTATTCAAATTTACAGATTTTTCTACCATTATTGGACTTTGTTGTACAGTTTATAATACCGGGTTGTTTGCTTGCTCTTCTACACGTCGGTTTCATAAGAGAACCAGAAATCGACATTGGAATGATAACAAAGCAGTATGTTCTAGTCCATTTCTGTATAAAATAAAGTGATCGATATGTATTTATGCAGTTTTATAGTAATCGGTTCGGTCGGACGCCAAGAGATCAAACTCGTATTCTAGTTGCAACAGTAACTATTGCCTTTCTTGCAGTACAAGTACCGACTGCTTTCATCACCACTCTAAGCCTCACAATTAATCACTTTCAAAACAACAATGCTCGTAAGTCATGATTACAAAATATTTTCTGACAAGCGAGAAGATGGTGCATTTTTCTGTTTACAAGACAAGAACTTTTTGAAATATTTCAATAGACACTAAGCTTAGACAGATGTGGCACAGACATCACTCCATGTCATCCATAATACGAAGTCCTAACTTTACTGAAAAATTGAAATGGAAATCATCATGGAGAGAAGTAGGAACTAATTTAGTGATGATTCTCGCCTTTGTGATTGGTCATCTTCAACCGCTGATTTCAATTACAACTATTGCCGCTAACTCTTCTGCACTGCTAACAGCATATTATGTGATTGTCAAGGTATGCTCATTGTATAGAATCCAAGGAACACAAATCCAGTAGTCCATGACGGCTTTTAAACTTGTGATAGTTGCTGCAATGTATACTTGTTGCGCCTATCATTGAATCAGGCAAAGTGTAGCAGAACTCCACTCTTCGTTTTTGGATGGTTATGACGAGCGAATGAAAAAGTTGTTCTTACAAACAAACCGGATAACGCCTCCTCAATATCGTAGCCAGTTCATGGTCATATTTAGGACGATGATGAAGACGTTGGCGATTCGCATAACTCTTTATCGGAAACAGAAGCACCACACGAAATGCTACTACGACAGGAACGAGAACGTCGTAAATCAAGGCAAGTGTTGACGAACACCCGAAGATAAAGCACAGTGCAAATGACAAGCAACTGCAAGTAGTATCTGATAACGATGATCGAACGGTCGCTCCACTTCAGTCTTTGGCCCATCTGTGATATTACTGATAAGGAATTCGGCGCTAATGTGACGATTTTAGAAATGCATATCGTTCCGAAACAATAGTAAATTTACAAAAGATTCTTCAACTTCCCTCGAGTAACTGGATTTCGGGCTCAAACCAAATTTTTTGCTTGTCGAGTCTGTAAGAAATTTCGGCCGAAATTCTGAATTATTCAACGCTGATTAAAAAAATTCTTCTATATAAGCAAAATGAGAGCTAGTAGAGCAGTTCATCGATTCGTCAATTTGAATCCATGCCTATTTATCATTTTTTTTACATACCAAACACTACCGTAACCTTGTAATTTAATGGGTAACATCAGTTGTTGCCGAACTCAATTATGATTTTCGAAGTAAAAGTTTCGATGATTAACTAAGACTGTACTCCGAATTGATCCAATTCTACGTATTGCTACCGTGAGCTGTGGTTCAAGCACAATTCGAGGTTTTAGCAGAGACTAATATTTTAAAGTCATCGTTAAAAAGCGGGCATTATTTTTGCATAGTTTTAGATCTACGGTGACCTACTGTTCGAAAACCTTTCCCTGACTCTCACTTTATACTCAGAATCCTTTCTGCTGCTTTCCATTCAAATTCGAAATCCTGAAGCAAACCATGGTATTACCTGGTTTCAGCATGCGTTGATAGCACCAAATAAACTGGTATAAAGTCATTTCAGAATAAGTCCCAAAAAATAACGTTAAGAAAACATTAAAAGTATTCAATAGACCATACAGCAAATTGTTGAGTAAAAATTATGAACAACTTAGATCCAAATAGTCGCTCATACTTGTATCATCTGTGTCACCCGTAGTCCTGCTGATCATTGAGCAACTCGAGCGGGTGCCAGTAAAGCTTCGATTTTCCCCCGTCGCGTGTAAGACTGGCCCAGTGGGTTCTCCTCGCTCTAGAGACTCGTTGAGCATCATATCTTTCTTCTAGGCTTTTCGTGAAGATATCCGACCATTGAGTCGGTGGTCTTTCTGCAGTGCGTTTAACATCCCGAGGAATCCAGTCGCTAACGGTTCCTGTCCATCGGTTGTCGTTCATACGCATTAAGTGTCCGGCCCACCTTATCTTCGACT